TACTTTCATATTCTTCCTCCTTCGGGGAATTTCTGTTGGGAAAATTATTCTTCCTGATACAGCAGGGTTCTGGCAATAGGCTGCAGCACAACCTGGCTCTTATTAGTGTAAGTTAGGCCTGCTGTTCTAGGGCAGAACCTTGCGGTCCTAAAAGGAAGAATGGAAACATATGAAAAATCCCCTTTTTTAGGCTTCATCTACTGCAATAACATTAAATAACATTAAATAATAATATTTAATGGTCTATAGCTTCCTTCACCTGACAACATACAAGAGGAAAGAAAAAAAAAGGGAACCATTTTGGATCTCCAGAAGTTAGAAAACACGTCTTCATCTGACACTGTTTTTAAATATTCTTTTCTGTCATGAAATTAGCTGTGATTATCCATGCTCCAGATTTGATTAGCACAAATTCTGCATGGAATCACTATGGAGAGCCTTAGTAAACTAAAACTAATGAAGAATGCAGCAGCTGACTTGCTAATGTTATTAACTACAACAAATAAAAGACTATTAGTTTAATATTTGTTTCTACACAGAAATAGAGATTTTAGCATTTCTAAAATATACTTTTAGGACTTTTTTATGTTAGTTTAGTACTTTCAGTGCAAGTATCTTGTGGCTAGGTACTTCTATTTCAGATTAATCTAGCCTTTTCTAATGTAACCAGTATAACAAAAACATCTCAAATTTAAATCACTTAAATTGACCATCTCACATTACAAGAGTATCAAATTCTGAAATAAAGATATGTATTGCGTATTTCCACTGAAGCAATTAAGCGTGACTTGTAAGCAGTTGAGTAATTTTCAATTCTGTATTTGTAGCTAATCCTCTAATTAGGTTTCCATTGAATTTCAGTTAATTAAATGGTTTCTATCATTACTTTTTCCGATCAAGCTAAGCGCGCTTTGACTTTCTAAGCTAAGCAGTGAGAAGACTGGGGGATAAGTGTTTTTTATAAAGGTGTCTCCAGTATGAAATAGAGTTCCTGGTGTTGATCTTCATCCAATAGTATAGAGACCATCTCTTTATTCGGGTTTCTGCTCCATTGAGTGAGAGGTATCTGTTACTAGGCTTTTTGTTGTTATTTCTTTGCTAGGTCTTTGGGTCGATTAGTTTTAGTTGAGGGATTGTTCTTTTTGCTACTGATGGATGTCTTACAAAGGGCTTGTAATAAGCTTGTTTTGTAAGTTGATAATGAAGAAATAGAATATCAAACAGGAACTTATTTCTGTTGCAGCTTATCTCTCACATGAGAACAAAAAAGTCCAGCACTGCTGTAGTGCTAGTCTTCATAAAGTCAAGAAAGAAAAAAAAAAATTAATACTACATGCAGCAGCATTCATAAATACTATGGAAGGATGGTTTTGTAGGTTTCTTGGTTGATTTACTTCTTTCTGCTTGATCCTATCTGTTTTTCATTGTAAGCTTTAGCAAAAGTGTGTTGGGCTTTTTTCTCCCCTCTGGTTTATGAGTGACCTTGGCACACTCGGCCATGTTGTAGAACATACATGAACTTCTTTGGTTTTTCTAAATTATACTCCCCTTGACTTTTGGCAATGGGTGTAGTGGGGAAATTAACGTTCAGCCTGGGTTGTTTGGGGAGAAGAAAAACTCAGTCACAAACTTAGAAATTTTTCAAATATATTATGTATTCTGTGCCAAGCATGCTCTTTTGTTTTGCAACTTCATTTTAAAAACTCCCTTCTTTGGGCAGCTTTACTTCCTCATTTCTGTTTTGAGAGGGCATGCAAATATTCACCATTATATTTGACATAATATCAGAGGCTGGTCATCAGTAAATGTAAGGACTGATTGCTCAGGTCTTTTTGAAAAGAAGCTGTAGTTAGCAACTTTTCCAGGAAATAGAACGTACTGACCTTGTAAGAGAGGTCTAGAACTACAGTCTCAGGGCTGAGCCACAACTGACCAAAAATACTGTTTCCTATGCTTTTTTAGTTATTCTACTAAGACTGAGGTGAAAAAAGTCCTGAAGAAAAAGGACGTTGTTATTTTACCTCATTATTTCATATTACCTTTGCTCTACCACATATGCGTGTGTCTGAGTAGGCAACTAAATCAAGATTTGCCAGGGAGATTTCTTGTTCTCTGTGGGTTTCTTGTTCCTCTTGATCAATGCCCAACTTTGTTCAGTGCTAGGCTATTTTATGTGTTTTTCTGGTTTGATTCTTGCTGACATATATTCTTAAAACAGTCTTTGGTTGGAGGAAAACTAATATGCATTCATATGGTAGAAAATTAAGGATCAGAGATTACAGAATCACAGTGTCAGAGAATGGTAGGGGTTGGAAGGGACCTCTGTGGGTCATCTAGTCCAACCCCCCTGCCGAAGCAGGGTCACCTGATAGGTGACTATCTCAGAATATATTATTATTGCTAAAGAGAAAGGTGTTATCCATCTCTTGAGGGTAACTGAATGAAAATCAAAAGCCATTTTGGCTGTCCTTTGCTTACAAAAAAGGGTTTTCTCACTCTGCGTCTTTTAAAAGGTGAATAACTATAGCCTATACATGATGTTTTGACTAGAAAGAATGTGTTGGAGTTGTAACTGTAGATGCCCTCTATAAATTTCTTAAATCTTTTACAGCCCTGTTTTATATAATTCTGTGCTGTAGTTTTCTTATATTCTATGTATTTAATTTTATTTTTAAAGATATTTATAGAGGTAAATATAATAAACTGTTTGAGTCATGAATATGAGAAGGAAAAGGATATTCATCTTGTAGAAATATGTTGTGCTTTGTTTCCAATTCACCTAGCAAGCAGGTCTAACTTGTCTACTATATGTTAGGAAAAAGTACAGTCAGTATTCCTTTTTTTCCTCTTATTGTCTGTCTTTTTTTTTCCATCCTCCTATGATTCTTTATTGTCTCCTTGATTTATACAGTGAACATCTCTGGAAATGAATTGGAAGTAGCCTTGGGTTTTTTCATTTGTAAAACTGCAAATCTTGTCACTGTATAAATTCATAGGAAAATGTTTCAACTGTGTTCACAGTCCTTGAGCTGATAAATCACTTGGGAAAAAATAAAAAACACAGTTCAGTTCATTAAGATCTATTCATTAAGAAGAGAAACTTCAAGCTGCATCTGTATGAGATAGTTTATTTTTTACTTTTGTTTAATACTTTGATATACTGCAAAACCAGAATGTCCAGTGTTGTCAGACTCTGTCTATTTTAGAAAGAGTTCTGGTAATTTTTACATGGAAAACTATAAAAATATGAGGGATGCAGTGATTGCTTTTGCTGGTATTCATGCAGATTTTCATTGTTGCTTTTCTTTTTTTTTCTTTTTGCCCATGGCGTTTAGATTAAGTTGGTGTGTTCTTGTTCTAATTCTTAAAGGAGAAATTTAAAAAAATTATCTAAAAATTCACTGAAGATTCTACTGTTTCCTAGAATTGGCAAAGAGGCTGAATTGGTTTCTAACTTCTGATTCACATTCTGCTTTCTATGTTTCACCTTCCAGCAGGGATTGTTACTACAGTATACTAATGTGAGGAATCTCAGTAAGAGAAGTCTGCAAAAGCAGGGCAATATCCCAACCACCTGCTTTAGGGTCAGCTTTAGACACTATCATATTATAATGCCTAAAATTTTGGTATGTGGCTACAGCAAAGTGATTCAGATAATCAAATGGCAACAAGATCCCCATTCGTGTAACTGGAAAGGATGAATGATAAATGTCACTATTAAGTGACATTCAGAAGGCTTGCATATTAAGTGAGGAGCTGGACAAAACTAGTCCAAAGAAACACTAGGCACAGAGATGGGTCTGAACTCCTGACCTTCTCTAGCAGTTGGGCACTTGATGCAGGTACCTTAGATACCTTGGCTCACTCAGATTCAGAACCTAGGTTCATCTTCTGAGAATAATAGCCTGAATTAATGTTTAAAATCATAGAATTATGCTTTACAGGGCATATGGCTGTCATTCTTGCCCACCATTTGCATACTAAGTTAATGGTAATAGTATTTGTCAGGAACCAGGAAGCCTTGAATCTAAAACATGTTGATGGAGTTCAGATATGCACTTGCTATTTTCCAGAAATGTACCTTAGTAAGTGGGCTAAGGGCTAGTTTTGGTTTAGAAATCTTCTGCCCTTTTTCTTGAGGATGATCTACCTGCATCCTGGAATGCAAGACCTAGAGACCTTGTGAGAACATGCAAGAGAAAAAGTGACTCTATAGCTGTGACATACCAGAGCCATGGTATATTATGCCTGTGTAGGTTTCCAGTCTGAGTATTTTAATTTGATTTTGAAAAAGCAAGAGGATTCTCCTGTGTGCTAGATTTTCTTATGAAGACTGATTTACTAAAATCAGAATTGCTCCTCCCTGAAAAAATGTCAGATGTTTGTCAAATAAGAACAAATTGCAAGAGAATGAAATACTTCATTACATTTCATTAATCGGAGGAAGAGTGGTAGGTCTTTGAGAAATCTATAAATATCTGTATCGGAAGATAGGTTGCTTTGCTTAGTGATTGGAGCAGGTAATTTTATGTATGAAAGCTGCTGACTCTTGTAATAGAAAATGAAGCAGATTTCTGTTTTGCACAAATAATCATACATATTAAAAAATCCTATGCCCAAAGCCTGTAAAAATCTAGTCTACTGAGACGGCTGGCTTTAGATCTTTGCAGTTATGAGACGGTAGGAGAATAGAAAGTTTTAAAACAAGAAAAAGAAAATATTACTTCTTAGATACTTTCAGTTCTATAACTATTCCTTAGCATGTTCTGATATGGACTTGTAGAATCTCCAGTATCAAATCCAGATTTTAGGATCAGGAACAGAAGTACACTGCAATTGCATGGACCTTGAAGGAAAATAGCCTACTCATATCAGTCAACTTGGTAAATCTTGTATTGTGTTCGACACATTACTTTACAAAGTTGTCTGCTTTTTTTTTTTTTTTTTTTTTTCTCCTTAAAAGCCCTATGTATTTTACGAAAAGCACTATGTATTTTCAGGTTGGATGAGTTAATTGAAACATTTCTTGAAGATAATGATCCTGATAGCACTCTGGATGTTGGTGCTGACATGCGCAAGATCAAGTATTGCTTCGTTCATGTGAAGGTATTTCTTTCAAACACAGATTGAAGTGCAGCTGGCACTGAAAATATTTTGAATATATTCACAGTTCAAAAGTGCCAAAAGAAATGCAATACAGTTGAGACACTGGAAAAGGGTAAAACAATTGAACTGTGAAGTGCATGGAGGAGTAATAGAAATTTTGAAATGTAGTTGGAAAAATTCAGCAGCATTTTGTGGAAACCCCAGCAAGGATCTCAGCATGCAGTAAATTACAACAGACCACTCTAAGTTATTTGAATCAACACAGAGAAGTTGGGAGAGAGTATTTTGGGATATAGTTCTCCAATATAATAATGTATACATTTGTGATCTTAATTTATTGTCTTTAAATAATTAGATTTTAGATATATTGCTAACACTGAAATCTCTGATACTAGAGAACGCTGGAACATATGTGTAGAAAGAGTAAAGTAAATTGCACACTTGGTAGTGAAGATGAACAAATACAACATGTCCCGTACTTATGCATATAACTTAACAGTCAACTGGTGGCATGATTTTGTTCTGTCAAGAGTCTAGCAAGGCCTTATGTTTTCTACCATAACTGGACAGTCTCAGAGTAGAGTAAGTACATAGCTGGAGGTAAAGTTAAGCTCTTTTTATTTCTCCCAATAGCAATTAATGAAGCATTCAAAGACTTCTGATAAAAAACTGTTCTTGCAACACAGCTCTGAAGAAAAAGACACTAACAAAGAAGCAGGAGAAGAAGAACTGAAAAAACTGAAAGACCTTCTGCAACAAAGAGACAATGAAATCAGTATCCTTTGTAAGGAAAGAAAAATAATATTTGGCTTTGAGCTGATCTGGCTTGATGGTTTTTGTGTGAGATGGGCATTAGCTGTATAGAAGAGAATTCTCTCTACTGACACAACTGTGTTAAAGCAATTACTCAGTTCCCAGCTTTTATGTGGCAGGACTCTTGCTTTGCACCTGCTTCTATTTCAGTTGTGACCCAAACCAAAATCCTGGATCCAAGCACCACTTAACTTTAGAACGGTCCAGCCAAGATCCGAATACTGTGGATCAGGCCACGCCTACAGCACTCTTCTCAAGCAAATTAAACCATATTTTTAGAATAGGAAACTCTGATCTGTATAAAGACCAATTTATTATGTTACAAAGAATAGAATTTCCTGTAGATGTTATTTTTAGCCAAATGAAGTGCTACTATGGGGACTATTGGGCTCTTTGCCTTTAGAATAAGTATAAAAATTGTACTCTTTACATGTGACTTTAAAATTTAAATTAAAGCTAAAGCTTCTTGCATATAAAAATACTGAACTGTTCAGACATGCTTTGTCCATTTCACCACCTCGCAGGGGACACGTGAGTAGCTGCGCTGTTGCACAGTGGCTGGGAGTTGTCTTTAGCAGGTTGACAGAAATATGGGCAGACCCCAGCATCACTGTGTCCCTAACTTTCTAGCTGCTTGGTGGAGAGATTGACATTGGTGAGAATGGCATTCTACAACAGGGTGTAGCACGTGCTACCAGTCTAAAATGAGGTGGCAGGAAACCTCCTCTGTTTCTGCTCTGTCACAGAAGAGAAGGTGTTCATTTTCCAAGGTGCACGTTCAATAAATTCATCTATAACATTGACTTCTAATTACTTTCAAAAAATTCTTCAATTTTCATGTCAATTTTAAGTTCAGGATTCCCAGAAACTTTTCTTCCTGAAAGTCTTTATTTCTTCAGTATGACATTGGTGGTGTGACCCCAGCTGGAGTCCTGTGTCCAGCTCTGGAGCCCTCAGCACAGGAAAGACATGGACCTGTTGGAGCGGGTGCAGAGGAGGGCCACAAAAATGATCAGAGGGATGGAATACCTCTCCTGTGAGGAAAGGCTGACAAAGTCGGGGCTGTTCAGCCCAGAGAAGAGGAGGCTCTGGGGAGACTTTATAGCAGTCTTTCAGTATCTGAAGGGGCCTACAAGAAAGCCAGAGAGGGACTTTTTACAAGGGCATGTAGTGATAGGACAAGGGGTAATGGCCTCAAGCTGAAAGAGGGTAGGTTTATATTAGTAGCAGAAATAAATTTTTTACTGTGAGGGTGGTGAAGCACTGAATCACAGAATCACAGAATAGTAGGGGTTGGAAGGGCCCTCTGCGGGCCATCTAGTCCACCCCTCCTGCCGAAGCAGGGTCACCTACAGCAGGCTGCACAGGACCTTGTCCAGGCGGGTCTTCAATATCTCCAGAGAAGGAGACTCCACAACCTCCCTGGGCAGCCTGTTCCAGTGCTCCATCACCCTCAAAGGGAAGAAGTTCTTCCTCATGTTCAGATGGAACTTCCTGTGCCTCAGTTTGTGCCCATTGCCCCTTGTCCTGTCACTGGGCACCACTGAAAAGAGCTTGGCCCCCACTGGAACATGTTGCCCAGAGAACCTGTGGATGCCCCTTCCCTGGCAGTGTTCAAGGCCCGGCTGAATGGGGCTTTGAGCAACCTGGTCTAGTGGAAGGTGTCTCTGCCCGTGGCAGGGGAGTTGGAACTAGAAGATCTATAATGTCCCTTCCAAACCAAACCATTCTATGATAATGAAAAAAAGCAAAACTTCTGCCAGATGCACTTGTGCTCAATAGATATATACAGCTTTATTTGCTGAAGTACAAGGAAGAAACTTGTGTAAATCCATGTTAGAGTTATGTAGGAACAATATAAACATGAAGAGTTTGAACACTAAAGCATTTTACTGAGTGCAGCCACTAAGTGACTGTACATCATCAGTAGAAAATTAATAAAATGTCTAATGTGATGAAGTGGTGGGAAGTATGGAAGCTGTTTAGTCAATAAACTATGAGGTACTTCTTGCCGATGGTAGCCAGGAGCTATCATAACAACTGAATTATAAAGTGTTTTGTTATTACTACCTAGTCCAGTTAATATTCCCCAAAGACTGCTTAGATTTTCTGCTGTTCATTTAGAAGATTAATTAGGATTAAAATGAATAGCATATAAAAAAATACTTCACAGGGACTCCTCTGGTTTTGGCTGAATGCACACAGAATTTTCATTGTGAGCCCCCTGTAAGCTGTTAGGCAAAATGTATTTATACAAAATATACTTCCAGTAAATATATAGTGTTATTGGAAGAAATTTCCTTAAGACTTGTTCTGCATTTTAGTAAGGCTACCTGCAAGTTAAGGAGTTTTTTCTTTTGTTTGGAAATTTTGTTTATTACAGAATTTAAAAAATAAAAAAGAGAGTGTCACACAATGGCAATAAGATACTAGAGTTTTCATTCCTGTTTGTCTGTAAATGCTTTTATCAGGCATTGATTGAATGGGATCAACAGTTGTGGTCAATCTGTGAGTTTGTTACTGTTCATTAAAAATGAGTCTGCTGTTTGGAAAAACTAAGATGGATAAATATAATTTCAAAGAACGTGCCCAACTCCAAATTAACATTCACATATTAAGCTTCCGTAATATGAGTTGTTCCATTTAAAAAAAACCCGAACCTTAGGGATAAACAAAGGTGATTGTTGTTTTATAAAAAAGAGGTACTTAAAGATTTCCTTAATTCGTCTCGCAGATATTCTGGTAAATATGCTAAAAAAGGAAAAAAAGAAAACACAAGATGCTCTTTTCCAGCTTAATGCTGCCTCTGCTGGTTCTATAGTCTTGGAGCAATCTGTTTCTACACACTTGGAAGAAAGTCAGAGCCCATCTAGCTGTCTGAAAGAGGCAGAAGATGTCAGCTCTTCAGTTCACAGACTGCCTTTTCTTTCCAGACAAACAGGTTAGTGTGATTAATTATGTAAGCGGTTTTGGGATTATTACAATATGATTTACAGCATATCATTCAAATGTGTACCAGAACAGGAAAGTTTTATTTTCAACATCAGCTGTATTGTGCTAATTCTGTACCTGCAATTGCAGGGATTTAAATTTATAGCCCCCTCAAGGTGCTGATGGCTTTTACAAACTGAAGTGAATACTCTGTTGAACCAGAGTATAAATTCAGTTGCAAGCCCTTGAATCTTTGAGTGAATTCTCAAAAAAGGACTTTTTTTGAGTGTAAATCATTAAAAAATACTAGGTAATAGTATTTTTTTTCCCTGGGAGATTTGAAAATACTGACTTAACAAAAAAGAAATCTAAACTGGAACTGCAGGTACTGAAAGAATTTTTGTGCAGGCATTATTAGTTTCATAGTATCCTTAAACACGAATAACCACGAATTTTTTTGTCGTTTCTTTAATCTTCCAGCCTAGGAAAGAAAAGTTGTATTTAAATAAAATAAAATTTCATTGTTTATGCTTCTAGCTCTGGTATCAGATCATAAACCTAAAACTTTTTGTGGGCATCTTTAAGTTAGTGGCATTTTATTATATTATACCCTTTAGATATCTGGGCTTTATTTAGCTTTTTTAATAAATCATGGTGTTTATTTCTATGTTAAAAAAAATTGAATATGATTAAGTGAGCTGAGACCTTAGTTCCAGAAATGACAAATAGCTCTGTTTTTTTGCGTGCGAGTAGCTTTAGTGAAACAGTACGTTTCTCAAGCAAGACTTTAGTAAGTGTGAACAAAGTAACAATTCTTATGTTGATGTATTTAAAAAAATATATATTTTAATTATTTCTCAAGTGTTTTAATAATTCAGTTTGCAAACAATTTAGAGTTGAATTCATAAATAATGCATTTATTTAGGATAGCTGACACACTCGACACCATTTTACCATTGTCGTGCCTTCATCAGCAGATGAGTACTATCTGTCCATAGATAACTGCTAAAAGGTTTTTATCTTTTATAATAATACCAGTGTATTGTTATTCATGCTTTATTCTAATTAAGAAGTTTGTTTTGTAAAATTTAATAGGTGAGCATATAAAATACTCTTCACTGACAAAAGAATTATTTGGGACAGATTGTTGGCACAGGGAATCTGTCACAATGATGAAGTATTGTCTTTGGTTAATCAATAAGTAAATGTAACTGATTCCCATCCTCTTTGAACAATGAGTTTTACATGGACATCTGTCTGGGATGAGAAGGTGTTATGTTTTGAGAGGAGACTTCCTTTATATGATTGTATTGCACGTTATATGATTTTCTCATTCTGAAAGTATCTGGAAAACTACTCCCTTCTTTCCAGTCCTCTCTTCAGTCAGTTTTGGGTCAGCTTCTGATATTATGTGTCTTTCCTTGTGAACATGAAAACGACGTCCTCAATAGCCAAAATGCTAAGAGTGAATATGAAAGTCCTCCCTTACCTTCACTTATAATTAATTTCTTTTTCAAATTTTCAGTCATATTACTTGAGGACTGCAGATAAATAAAATTTATTTTTTGACTATTTTAGGTGGCCCTATGTGTTTGCATTCTTTTAGAGTGGCCTGGCATTCTGCTACAAGTCTAGCCCAGTAATATTGGTGACATTTGGACTTATGGTACTTCTGTATTTATAGCTTTTATAATACTAATGCCTTAAAACATTATTTCTTAAAACACTTGTGCATTTTATTCAGGGAATACTTAGAATGGCAGACATAAAAAGGTAGTAAAAAAAACACTATTAATAGTACAACACGTACAGCCTTGACTTAAGTATGCCTTAAGCCCAACCTCAGGAGACCAACTGTCTTTGCAAGAATATAACTGAGTGTCCAGGCTCTTTTGTGCCTTTGAGTCTCTGAAAATGACAGTATTTTCTCCCTAATATACAAATAACTTTATTTTTCACTTTCTTTTTAGTTCTTAACGTTCTGAAAATAACAAGCTTCATTAATTATCTTCATAGTTTAATTAACATCTATATTAATAATCTTGTAGACTGGAGATTATGTATTTTTTAAATCAATTTGTAGGGTTTTCACAGTTTGATTCTCTGTGGCACATGTTTGAGAAAAAGTCACTATATAACACTTGTAAACAGATGCAGACAGTTCATCAGAAAATGTTGAAAAAGGTCTCACTATTTATAAATAGAATACGTAAAGTCATCATATCAGATATAAAGTTTTGCTACAGGAGAAGAATTTTAATGAAACTTATATAATTTTTAGATGCTTTAGAGCTTTTCTGTAGTCTTTAAAATTACATTTGAGATTTTAAAATCATATATGAAATACCAGAATGGATAATGACCAAAAATTATGAAAAATAAAAAGGGTATTTAAGAACATGCAGTAATAGTTGGAATAGGGCTGGAGGGCTCAAGAAAAAAAAAGAGAAAAAGTTCTGAGAGTTAAAGTCAGTAAAAAGAAAGCCAGTACTAAGACAAGCAGTGTATGCCATGATGAAAAAAAAAAAATCGAACTATAAATTACAGATCAATATAACATGAAGAAAAAGATTGAGTAGAATAGAATATCTGACTGAATAGAAAGAATATCCATATGAAGCATTCCAGTTTCTTTGCAGGCAAGTTACTGTTTTGAGATCCTTAGCTGCTAAGTACCATAAAACCTGAAGTGGTTTGCTATGTTGTTGTAAAGCAAAGATACATTGGTACATTCCTTGGCAGTCAGAACCTCTTAGCTCTGTCTGCTAATGGCTAGGATATAGCTCTCTTTCTATTGGACTCAGGCCTGGGCACACGTGTATGCTTCAGACTTTATTAATTCCATTTGTTCTATCTAAGAATGTAGAAAGATGTCTTGAAAGAAGACCATTTAGTCAAAGACTTAGTGGTCAGCTTACATAGCAAAATAAGTTATTCACAAATACGTAATTTTAATACTCTAATATCCACCAAATACATATTCTGACTTAAGATTTTCCTTTTAACCTTCAAACTTCTATATGGATTTGTAAAGCTTTTGCATCATGGTAAGTTTTTGACAGCTACAGGCCTACTACAATGATGAAATTGTCAACTGACTGGGGAGGCTTGTGAAATAATGGGAAAGAAGTTTGATAGGCACTATTACAAAAATATGAAATGCTCTTCTCAAGAGTTATGAATTACCCTAGACCTCATCAGGAGTCATAACTATTTCTAATATTGTCTTGCATTCTTCAACCAATATGGCTATTAAAGAAATTCCAGAAAATTTTATTGTTAACCCCAGAAGTTATAAATACTAAGTCATGCACCTTAAAAGATGAGATTCAGTTTTTTAATCACTGGATTCCAGAAGAGTGAGTTTTAGAAGATATGGGGGTACAAGCAATATTTACTGTTAATATTTTGGAAAACATTTTCTTCTGCATACTTGTGAAAGAACCAGAACTACATCTAAGACTGGAATGCTGAAAAAATTAGAAACTGAAATCTCAAGAGTTCTAGTTATCCTGGTTTCTGCAAAGGAAATATCCCTTCTTAAGCTCTGCAGTTTTTTGAACGTGTGACTCAGGAAGAGAATTAAGAAGTCATTAACATAATCAGACTATCAAAAGGGACAATGAGATCCTGCAGAATAGGCCATTGATAAAGCTGAGTAGTCAGGAATTAAGCATAAAATACTGCTTTAAGGAAAATACTAAAGACTGTCAAGAGAATATTAAAACTTTGTCTTCATCTTTTATACCAGTCCAGTGTTAAAAAAATTAAGATGAATCCTACAGAAGTTTATATAATGTATTTTTACGGTGGGTGCCTTGCATGTTCTTTAGAGTTATTGAGCCACTGCCATGCTGCCACTTACTTACCATACAGGATACTAGCCTAGACTTATCTTGCATCTGTTCCCTTAAGGCAATGCCTATGTATGTTTGTTCTTCATTTACCTCCTAAAACAAAAGAGAGGTTGAGAGTTTGTTTGGTGATTCCTTCCTTATACCTCTTCCTGTTTCTGTGTAGAATACTCTTCCATATTGCTTCTTTCCATTCCAAATTACTCAGCTGCTGAGGAAATCCCTTTGCCTTCTACTTTTCCTATTTATCGTAGAATCATCACAGAAGCATAGAATGGTTTGGTTTGGAAGGGACCTTATACATCACCTAGTTCCAATCCCCCTGCCATGGGCAGGGCCACCTTCCACTAGACCAGGTTGCTCAAAGCCCCATCCCACCTGGCCTTGAACGCTACCAGGGAAGGGGCATCCACAGGTTGTCTGGGCAACATGTTCCAGTGCCTCACCACCTCACAGTAAAGAATTTATTTCTGCTACTAATATAAACCTACCCTCTTTCAGCTTGAGGCCATTACCCCTTGTCCTATCACTACATGCCCTTGTAAAAAGTCCCTCTCTGGCTTTCTTGTAGGCCCCTTCAGATACTGAAAGACTGCTATAAAGTCTCCCCAGAGCCTTCTCTTCTCTGGGCTGAACAGCCCCGACTTTGTCAGCCTTTCCTCACAAGAGAGGTATTCCATCCCTCTGATCATTTTTGTGGCCCTCCTCTGCACCCGCTCCAACAGGTCCATGTCTTTCCTGTGCTGAGGGCTCCAGAGCTGGACACAGGACTCCAGCTGGGGTCTCACCAGAGCAGAGTGGAGTGGCAGAATCACCTCCCTCAACCTGCTGGCCACCCTTCTTTTGATGCAGCCCAGGATACGGTTGGCCTTCTGGGCTGCAAGCGCACACTGCCAGGTCATGTTGAGCTTCTTGTCAACCAGCACCCCCCAAGTCCTTCTCCTCAGGGCTGCTCCGAATCCGTTCTCCACCCAGCCTGTATTTTTGCTTGGGATTTCCCTGACCCATGTGCAGGACCTTGCACTTGGCTTTGTTGTACTTCACAAGGTTCTCACAGGCCCACCTCTCAAGCCTATCCAGGTCCCTCCAGGTGGCATCCCTTCTGTCCAAAGTGTTGACTGCACCACACGGCTTGGTGTCATTTGCAAACTTGCTG